CCCCCCCCGAAGCAAGCGCATCCTCCCTCGCTTTGCCCTCCTCAGTCGGGGTGAGCCCGCCCGCCTCAAGTCCCCTCCCGTTCCCCTTCCAGGCCGAGCGCCGGCAGATGGAGGAGTCGCTGGGGGACGCCACGGAGCAGGAACAGGAGCTGCTGCTGTCCAAGCGGTCCCTGGAGAGCCGCCTGGAGGAGGCCCAGAGGAGCTTGGCCCGCCTCTCGCGGGAGCACGAGGACCTGACCGCCTCTTACCACGAGGAGGCCAAGCAGAAGGAGCAGCTGAAGAGGGCCAAGGGCGAGCTGGAGGAGGAGAAGCGGCTCCTGGACAAGAGCATCGGGAAGCTGACCAGGGAGGTGAGCCCGGGGGGAGGGGGGGAGACCGCGGTCCGGGACCCTCCACATAGCGACCCTGGACCTCCGCCTAGCGACCCCGGAGAGCCAGTTTGGTGTCGTGGTTAAGAGCGCGGACTCTTATCTGGGAGAACGGGGCTTGATTCTCCCACTCCTCCATGTGCAGCTGCTGGGGTGACCTTGGGTCAGTCACAAGTTCTCTCAGAGCTGTTCTCTCAGGAGCAGTCCTCGAAAGAGCTCTCCCAGCCCACTGACTCTGTTTCCAAAGCACGGGAGTTTTTGAGAATCCAGTTGGGTGAGCCAGAGGAGGTGGATAAAGAGGAGAAGGACAGCAAGTCCAGTGGCGGGTTGGACTCAGGGTCTTCCGGAGTGGACTCTATTTCTGAAAAAGGGGGCGGCTGCCCCTAAAAGTCCATACAAACTGAGGAAAAGACAAGATAAGAAAAAATGAAGGCTGAAGGACTCTGAATTGTGCCTTTGAAAGTATAGCTTTTAATAATGAGATGCTCTGGGGTTTCTCTCTAACAGTTAAATCTAAGATTTAAAAGATATTTTAGCATGTCTGACTAAGTTCAAAAGATATTAGCAATTTAAGGAAAGATCTTGTACTCAAGCTGTTTTAATGATCTCCTACTCTTGGGGTTTTAGTTAGTAGTGGCTATCTTTTCTTTCTCCTTTATCGTATTTCCCTTCCCCTATCTTCGTTGTAGTTTGTAGTCCAATTAAAAATGCAATTAAAAAATCCCCTCCGGGGGGCCAAAAAAAAGAAAGACAGAAAGAGCTCTCCCAGCCCCACCTATCTCACAGGGTGTCTGTCGTGGGGGAGGGGAAGGGAAAGGAGATGGTAGGCCGCTCTGAGACTCCTTCGGGTAGTGAAGGGCGGGGTATAAATCCAATCTCTTCTTCTTGTGAAAAGAGCTGCCTCATGCTCATTACTCTCACGATCCGTGTTTTGGGGCCGGTTTAATCCCGGGTTCTTCTCTCCTCCCTCCAGCTGGATCAGATGACGGAAGAGTCCCACCGGGCCCTGTCTGCCCTGCAGTCGCAGCTGGAGGAGTACAAGGAGAAGTCCCGCAAGGAGATCACAGACTCCCTGAAGCAGGG